GCCAGTTTACTACAGTGTCATTCCATCAGGTCAACAAAATAATTTAAGGTGAGTTTAATTGAGTTACTTGATTTCTCAGCAGCTAGGCTTAATTACAGTGTAGTAATTAACACGATCCTCTATAATACTGCATATATTAAAATGTATTTTAAAGGCAGACTTACAGATACTTAATTTGTTGTTGCTTTTATGCAATTAACTAAAACAACCAGTATTGCTTGAATTAGGACATACTTGTTAGACTGGAAAACATTGTTTCCTTATCACTTTCAGCAACACTTTTCTACAGTTCTGAATCTTAAGCATTCTCTGTTTCTTTTCTTGTACCTGAAACACCAGTGTGTTCAGTAGCAATGCCTTTTTGCAGCAACATTTAAGATGGATATCCTTATTCACTGTTTTTTTCAAAGATACTACTTTAATAAGGTGTAGAAAAAAAGATAACTTGAATCCCAGAAAAAGACTGACTTATTTTTTTGGAGCTTTGTCTGGAAGAAGCTAGTTTACTTCGTTGCTGACACGGCCTGCTGGCACAAAGCTGGCTATGAAATAAGTATACGGAACTTGTTTCTATGCTTGGCTTTTGCTTGATAAAGAACTTTTTTTACCTACCTTGATAACAGCAAATTGATCTACATCTACATACCTCCCTGTGTATACATCTGTGTCCCCAGTACAATTTAATGGAGTATTTGTGAGGGAACAGATAGGCAGACACCTAAAAGAATTCATTAGGATTAAAGCTGGTTACAAATTTTTCTTTTCGTTTTTGGAACTTACAAATGTGCATCATTTAAAAATACCTCATCCTTTCCTAAGTGCAGAGACTTAAGTAGTATTTTTGTCATTGCTGTGAGGTTTCATCTGCTTAAATCTGAATTATTGTTCTTTGCAACTGAAGATTCTTTTTATCCTTCTCTAGTTATATTTGAGGTTTAGTGAAGTCCTAGATAGACATAATCCCAGATTTTTCTGAAGTAAATTTTGTTGCTTGATCTTCATCATTTATAATGCCCCTCTTTTTTGCACAGGGAAACATTGGTTAGGAATTTGGAGCAGACTAAGAGCTAATGACTGTATCTTGCTTTTATCAAAATAGTTTTGTTGCAGCACTTTGACAAGGAACACAGAATGCTGTTCTGCAGTAATGGAATAGTCTCTAACCTACAGGTCATTCTTGAAAACTTTAATCAGTAGACAGATGAGAAGCTGTGTGAGAACACACAGCCTGTGCAGCTACCAAATCTGCTTTAGATTTCACTGAGCTTTGTGTCCGTTAATGGAAGGGAATGTTTGAGTTAAAAATATATAATTGAACTGTGGGACAAAGGATGGAACAAACTTTGTGTGACAACATAAGTAACAATGGTAAATCCAACAGATGGCACCTCCTTTTTTTTCCACAGTATGAAATACTAAAATACTTTTTTTCTTCTTCCCTCAGAATGTACACTTTATCTGTTAGTACAGAAATTAAATACAGGATTCTATAGGCGCCATTATAGTCCACCAACTTGATGTTCTGGCTCTGGCAGTATGATCAGTTAGTGGTATGAGAGAATCTGCTTTTCTGTTACCTGCTTTTCCCCTGAATGCCCTGAAAAATACGTGGTATAAATCAGCTTTTTACAGTTACCCTTTTCCTATGTATGACAAGTGTAAGGTTGTTTATCTCCAGGAGACATGTTCCTTTCCCTATATGCCCTATTTGGTAAAGCCATGGAAGGGCAATCAGCCCTTTCAGCTGTGTTAGTTTACACTGAAGTAGAGGTGTGCTGCCTTGGAGTGCTAATGAGCCAGCTGAGCAGCATGGGGCCAGCCTCCAGATGAGTGACTTCATCTGAATCCTCATGTCAGGTTCTGCGGTAATCATTTAACTGAGATGTAATTCTGCTTAATTGGTAAGGACAACAAACCGTCTTTTTATTATTATTCTACATGTCTTTATAGCAATACAGTGCTATAGACACAAAAATAGCTTCTTAACACATGCAGGGCATAAGTTTTGCTCAAGGAAGAGACGTGAAACATCAGTCTTTGGAAGAATGAGTAGATTTGGCAGTAGGTGAGAATTTTAGAGATTAAAAATTTAATAATCTCAGTGATTTTCAATACATGTAGATGGCAAATGCAACAGTCATGGTTAAATAAATATGTAGCATAAGTGCCTGTTAGTCATATTCTTTTTTTTTATTATTACAGTTCATCAGTAGGATATCTGCAGCCCCCTGGATCAGAGCAGATACAGTTTCCTAGAACAACCTCACCCTGCAATTCACAGCATCTTCAAGGACAGCAGTGTGCAGGTTAGGGGAATAAAGTTTTTAAATAAAAGACTTAAATAATGTGTAGCTTTTATTATGCTGGGTGACTGGATTTTTTTGTAATAAGTTTGGTTTAGAATTAACTACTGCATTATGTTTTCTTCTGTGTTCCATTTTTTAAATTATATTGGAGGCAGGTTAACGTGACATCTCAATTTGTTTATCACCTAAGTCTCTCAAGTTACTTGCAGTAACATACATTGTAATGCCTTGCATGTTTGCTTGAGTGTTGAGACAGACATGGGAACTGTAAGTTGTCAACAGAATGACTTTCATCTTTTCCTGAAGAACTACATGGGTCTGAACATTTTGAGACTTGGGTTTATGTTTGGTAAAATGAGCAAGGTACATTTTGGGAGCAGCATACTTGGATTTTCTACTCAAGAAGCATTCTAGATCTCACTTAATGGAAAAGGAGTATCTGTTTTCTTAAGAGTTCTTGAGAAGCGAGTAAAAACTCTTCAAAATTCTGGGTTTGGGCAGAGAGGAGAGGTAGCTTTTTGACCTGCTGAAAAGCAAAATTAAATACTCCAAAGCTATGTGGGGTGTTTTGGTTCGTTTTTTTTAATGATAGCCTATTTACTGCTTTTACTTTCATAGTTTATAGCAACCATTCAAGTCAGAAGCCATCACCTCCTACATTATTGCCACCTTCATCAAAGTCAAAGCCACAACAGGCTGCTTCCATTGTACACTACAACATAGTGTCTCCACCCTCATCATGTAAAAGTTCGCCCACTGGCCTTTCCATCATGCAGCCAATAAAAGGTATATTTTATGGGGATTTTCATCTAAGCCATTCTGTCTACAAATCTGTTGTAAATTAATCAGACTGATTTCATGGCTAACTCCTAGAACAACTGCAGCTTGAGTGCTATCTCTGCAAATACTTTTTTTCATAAATCTTCATTTGAATTGCTATTATTGTAACTTTTAAAATGACAACTTGAAACTTAGATGTAACAGTAGCCAACTTCATGGGGGCAGCCTGGAGGCAGCCTTCAGCAGATTGGTGTCACTTAACAGAAGCACTTAAATCAGGTTTGGAATGTTTTCATCTACTAAATATTTGGGTAATTTTTAGAAGATGTATGTATACTTTTATATATAAAAGCCTCCATGGCTTGTGAAAACAGTGGTGACACAGAGCTTGTCCTATTCTTGAAATATTATAAATGCTAATACCCATACACCTAAAAATGCTGAATTTCCAACCATAACATTGATGGACTGGTCAGGAAATTAAGAGCACTCGGGTTAGCCTCCAAAAGAAGTTAGAGAACAATCCTGTGATTATAGTGGTGCTGTATTTCACCAGTAAGGAATATTATACATTAGAGATTTGGTTGCCCCAAAAGGCGTAATCTCAAATACTGCTAACTCAGTATTCTGCAAGCAAGCAATATATTAACCCTAGGTTAGTGACCTAGATTCCAGTATAGATTTGGTGTTTCTTACAAACATTAATCTTTGAAGATAGTTTTAGAGCCTGTTTATTAGTAAATAGATAACATGCAGGTAAGTGGCAAAATAGCTGGATTAGCAGTGCATTAGAGTCCATGGGCAGTTTGGGTTTGTTTCTATTTTGCTTCAAGTTTGTTTGGCTTTAATTCTGGAAGACTGTCTCTTCATGATGTCTAAAATCAGGCTCACAGTATTTTGTTCTATCCTCCTATCCTGATAGTGATGATTTTGAAGGTCTAATTCTAACCTGTTAAACTGTGACTTAAAAAAATTTGGGGGATGGGAAAGAAGACCTCTGTGACACAAGGAGAATTGATTTTGAGAGAATATAGAAAAGCATGGTTTTCAGTGGTACTGAGATGATGACAGCATATTTTGTGGAGTTGTTTCTTTTCATTTGAAAAAGTTACAGAGGACTAGACTGCAAAACTCGAGGGTTTCTTCTGGGTTTCCCTTCTCATGGGTTTTGACATCCATGAGGTAAAACGTCTGCAAACTGACTTTATGCATTATATTACACTTCACTTGGTCAGGATGCTTGTATAGAAAAAAAATAAATTTATTTTCATTTCCTGAAATGCTGTGCAACTAGAAGTAGTAGAAATAACAAGTTCTTCTGGATGTACAGTTTGTTTTGCAGTTTAAATAGCATTTCCAGTTTGTGACGTTTTTAGAAATGATTTTGAAAGAAAGATAAGCGTGGGGTTTTTTGGGTGTTCAGTTCTCACAGAGATAATATTCAAAAGAATATTCTAAGAGTGCTGCAGAATAAAAGAATACATTATAAAACAGTAAGATATAAATAAGTGTAATTTATAATACTTATGAATGCATGCATAAAATGTTAAAATTGAAGCATTTTGTATAAATTGTAGAATGTATCTAGATGTTTGTCTGGTACATCTCAGATTTATATATGTCAAGTTCCAAGTGGCTTTACCACTTTGAAACTGTTGTGCTATATATTATTGTGAATATGTAGTAGATACCCATAAACAGAGTTTTTTATTTGATTTTGCTATGAAAAAAGTAGAAATACTTGCAGCATGGCTCTTGCAGGGACTCTAAAGTATGTATCCTCTGGTCAAGTTGGCCAGATACCTGATGCTTCTGTTTCAATCTGTAACACATGGCTAGAATCTTTTGCCATGAAAAATAGATGTGAAAACATGGCTAATATTACTTCATTATTTTTATAAATATCAATAGAGTAAATACTTCAGAATACAACTTACAAAAGCTAATATAGTTTTAGTATTTTGAGTTTATTATTCCACATTATTTGGTTGGCTTTTTGATGGAGCCATGTTTCTTTTTGTGGAGGCCAGGGACAGTGAAAACAATAGCTCATTTTTTAGAATACAAGAAGAATGTGTTTTATAATCTGTATCTGACTGTTCCTAACTGATGCTATGACGTAGGTAGTAAATTGAGAAGACTCTAGTGTCCCACTTTAAAAATGGATGATTAAATTATGTTTAAACCATGTGTTTTAATTGTGGTTTCTGAGAAATTCTGTAAACAGTGGGTAGAGCAGAGAAGGAAATGGCAAATAACCATTTATGAGTAAACAGGACATTATATAAATTACTTGGGACAGAGCCAGGTCAAGGGGGAAGACAGCTTCTCTCTTGGACAGCCTCTCATCACAGCTCCTCCAGGGAACAGTGCTGGCTGTTGAACTGTTCTCCTCATACTGCATGGCTGTAACTACTGCAGCAGCCACGTGGTATAGGACATGGGAATCCACGAGCAGTCTCTGTCCAGAAAAATGTTTCTGTACAGAACTTGGAAATTAGGGTCATTTTGCCCTGGAGATTGATTCCAGGTCTTTCCCAGGTATCTCATCATATCAGAGAAAACATTTTGAGTCCATATTGCTGTATATAATGTAAAACTAACTAGGTATCTTACATTTTTAAGTGAAGCATATTTTTGCTTAATATCACACATTCTGGAACACATTGCTCTGACTAAGTACACTGGATGTTGAATACAGCCAACAAAAAGTATTTATTTCAAAAGTATTCTCAATACTGAGTATTGGTGATTCCACTATCTCCTAGTTCTGAGAAGCCCTAACAGATGTATCTGTTAGTGGGAATGTAATTGCAGAAGATACTGCTCTGGTTTTCTGCAATTCAGCAACTTATTTAGCAAAACACTGATTATGTTGTTTCCCTGTTTGTTTTTTGTTTAATGCAAGTCTGTTCTGCTAAAATGAAAACAGATATGTATGATGAACTGTATCCTACTGATTTCTTGTCTTGTAGCAGTAGCACCACCACCAGGTGGGGGAGTAGTAATGATGCAGCTAAATATACCTAGCAATCCTCAGCCTCGGAACCACTCACCTCCACAGTGGAAACAGAATAAATATTACTGTGATCATCAAAGGGGGCAGAAGTCCACAGAACTTAGCACTTTAGACAGTGCTGCACAGGTATGAGGGTTTTTTGTTTTTCAGGATGACTTAATATTTGCATAAATTGCATCTTTGCATGTTTTTCCATAAGTTCTTTTTTGGGGAATAAAAATTCACTCTGGTAATATTTGTTATAGCTATTTTAACTTCAGTCTTTGAATGCTGTAGGTGTTGTTTGCCTTGTTCAAGTAGGTACTTTTAAAACACTAACTTGTTTATTCTAGTTGCAGCATAGTCCTCAACTAGGTAGTCCTGTCACCTCACCGGCCCAGTCACCAGCACCAGCGCAGCTATCAAACATGAAGAACATCCGTCCCACATTAACACCTCTTTCTATTGTGTCCCAGTTTTCTAGACCTTTTGTCCCTGGACAAGGTATAGTTTTAGTTAATGAATGTGTTTGTTTTCCTATTTGAATGTTTCAAAATACAAGGGAGGATTTTCTTACAAACTGTGGCTCACTTTAGTAGTAATGCTATTGAAGTAGGAACATCACATTACCCACTCAAGGATCATGTAAAATTTCACCTTAACTTTTTGCACTGATGATGTCCCCTGTGTTCTCAGGGGATTGATCTTGTTACTGTGAGAGCTTCTGTATCCAACTTGCTTCCTTGTATGTGAAATTCCTCATTTCAGCTTTGAAAGTATTAATATAATGTTAGATATAATGAAGCTTCAAGTTTTAACCATAAATCAAAACTTGACATGTCCTGTCACAAAGGATATACTTTTAGAGCTACAAAGATAAACAGTGTGGAACTAGCTGGGGGAAAGGATATAGTTGTTAGCTGATGATACACGGAATCAAACCACTGCCAGTAAGAATTCTCTGTTCCTTTGTAGAAAAACTAGTGTGATGGAACTAAAGCCTCTAGCCAATAGTATTGCTACTTCAGTTAGTGTTTCAGGTAGTATCCAGTCAAAGACAGAAATAATTCCCTGAAGAATATCAGTACTCTGCTGCCATGTTAACAGAGAAACAGAAAATAGGGAGTTTTCACTGAGATGTGATAGTTGATAACATTTTAAAATCAAATTGTAAAAAAAGCCTTGTTGTCAGTGAGCCAAGAAATCCTGGTATAGTTCCCAAACTCAAAATTGATCAGTCTGTTTTACTGAAATATTTACTTGAAAGCAAAACTTACAGAAAATTCTGTCTTATTGATAAAATAAATTCTTATTTTCTTGTCTGTCCTTGTCTTATCTGCTACATAATCTTTTCATTGCTTTGCATTCTGATGTTGTAAAAATTCCAGGTTGCCTGTTATAAAGTATCACTCTCAACTGTCTTAATCTTCTGTGATTACTAAAAACTTCTATTCTGTTGTCTTTGTGGATCCTTGGAGCAAGTAGGAATGTGAACATGTACCTGCCTCTAATCAGGGATATAACCATGAAAATCATTAAATAAGTAGAATGAGAGGAGTTTCCACCTTATTAAGCTCATTTTTAAATAAGAGGATTTAGATAAGGCTACAATGAAGAAAAACTTTGTGGTTTTCGGTGTAGTTTTTAACTGCAAGAAAGCTTGTACCTTTTCACCTTGTGATCAGTATGACTGGCTTACAGTTGTTTACTTTAATCCCAAATCTTATTTTGTTAGCCTAGCCAAATACACTACTTTGTGCATAGCTGTTCTGCTTGATTCTGTGTAAGGAAGGAAGGAGGAAGATTTAGCATAACAAAAAGCCTTCTAATTACCTTTCTCTTTAAGGAGATGCCAGATACCCATTGCTTGGCCAACCCCTGCAATACAATCCACCATCTTTATTACGTGGACAAGTAACAAGCCAACAGGTATTAAAAAGAATAAAATCCCAGCGATACTGGAAAAAAACAAAACTACCATTATAACCACCATGAACAGGAGAATGTTATTGCATTAGAAAATTGGGTGGAAGGTGCTTGCTCTCCAGTAACAGTTTTATTGTGTGCTACTTCCCATTGTTCTTCTTTGTTGTATTTTAAAAAAACAAAGAAACATTTTCCTGAAATTTTGCTTTAGGCACAGTGTAGATTATGGATTTATTTAATTTGCCAGCAGTTCCAAAAATCACAGAATGTTTGCCAAAAGGATTTTCTTTTATTTGAATAACAATAATGGAAGAAGAAAATACATGTGGGTATTTCTAAACAAAGGGTGGGTTTGTTTCTTACAAGCAAAACAAAATTAAATTATTATAGTGTTAACCAAGCTGCAAAGTTCTGCCATCTATTTAATTTTGGGGGAAAACACACAGACCCCCTACCTTCACCTTCTTTATTTATACCCAAGATCAGAGAGAATATTTGATGGATTAGGGAGGGGGTGGAAGGGTGTCCTTCCAAGAAGATTTAAGATTGGTGGGGTTTTTTCCATCTTTTCCTCCCTTTCTTCTGAAGACAAGGACTCAATGTGCCTGACTGCAGGACTGCTAAACTCCAAGACTAAAATTAGACGTTAAAATCTTTTCTGTACCGTGGTAGAGCATGTGATTTTCCAGACATTCCTCTGCACCCTTTTCACTGAGCTAACCTACAAGTTTTAAGATAAGGGTGTATTGTCATTAAAGTATGTATCTTATGTCAATCTTTCCAGTGTCAGCCTGGAAACAGACATGGAAACAGGGGAAAGAAACCAGCAAAGAAGGCTGCTTCAGCCGATCTTGGTGCAGGAGAACCAGGTATGGATTTGCTGATTGCTTGCAGTGGTCCAGAAAAATTAATTATGGTGATGGGCTGGGAATGTAACAAGAAAAGCACAGGTGAAAAAAGGGCCAAAATAAAGATGAACTGGACAGAAATGGACATGGCAAATACTGGAAAAACAGAGCTGGAGAGGAAGACTTGATTTATCGAGAGGGGAAGGGGGAGGTTAAATGACAAAAAATGTAGTTTTGAAGGCTAGAGAAAAGACCAGAGAAGAGTGAGATTGGACAGTAAGTTTTTCACTGAACTGGACTTAAGTTCTATTATATTGTTACGTTAAATATTCTTAAATTTACGTACTTGTGCTTCCTTTTACTTGCATAAAACGTGAAATCAAATGTAAACCACAAATTAGTGTTTGGTTTTTTTCCCCTTCTAATATAAATAAGCACATGGATTTGAGGGATGTATGAGACTTACAGATTACCTCCTTGGAGTTGGTAAAGATGCCAATTAAATAAAACCTGGTATTATCTGTCTTCATATCTACACTGCAAAGAATTTTTGTTGCAAGTTTTACCTACTATCAACTCTGCAGAAAGTTAACAGATCAGCTTTTTCTAACAATTTACTGGAGAGGATTTTTTTGAGAGAAGACAGGCTAGATTTTTAGCATGGTGATGTGTGGAGTTAACAGGCAAAGCCAGTGGGATGCTGTAGTGAGTTCACAAACCTGCTACAAAATTAGGTGTTGATTATTTTCCCCTCGCTCTTTTGAGGACCCTCTGTATTCTTAGCTTTTATTTCTATGTTTGTAGCTGTAAGCAGTGCTAAATGTGAGAGCAAAAGGCTCTCTAGAATACCAGAAATTGAATGTCTGTGTGTATAGTATCAGCCAACTGGAGATTTGTATGAAATAACACACTTTCCATCATGTTTATTGTATCTCTAACTACAATGACCAATTGAGATTCAATTTTGTTCTTCTTTCAGTTGTGGGAAAAGTTCTAGAAATTACTGAACTGCCAGAAGGCATAACTTGTATGGAAGCAGAAAAACTATTTGGAGAACTTTTAAAAGTTGGTGCCAAGATTCGGTGGCTAAGGGATTCGCCGTGTCTACAAACACAGCAGCAGAACCATCGTCGTTACCATAGCAGCGTGAACACTGAGCCATCTAAACCCAGTGACTTGGCTTCCACCTACACGGTTCTAGCTACGTTCCCTACAATGTCTGCTGCTCAGAACGCATTGAAGAAACAAAGTAGTACCTCAGTGAACAAGTTCAGGCTGAGAACGAGCAAGAAGCACTACGACTTTCATGTTCTGGAAAGGGCTAGTTCTCAGTAGTAGTTACATCAGTGGACACTCAGCCTTTACTACTTCCATGTCCTCTCCTCAGTTGGATTGATGTTGTGGGGTTTCTGCGCTCTTCATAGAGATTCCTGGGATGTGTTATCTTATGACATTAGCCATTGAAGAATAAATAACCCAGTGATCCAGCAAGATGAAGAAAAAAAATACAGAGTTAATCCCAGACAATAGCAAGGAATCATCTTTGAGACAGGCAGCTGTCTACAAGGAATGCTGTTGAAATGTCCCCTACTTTTATAGTAGTTTTGTTTTATATTTTTGAATTCTTGTATCAGATCCAAAGTTTTATTGTACAGCAAACGTTCATAAAAATCCATATTCAGATTTGTATTTTATAATCCCTTTTCACAGCCAGCACACAGCTGTCCATTCCAAGGCAGGAACCTGAGGATTGGTGGAGGGGAAAAGAGAACCACTTTCAAGGAATTACACTCATTTTTCTAGCAAACTATCCCAGATGCTCAAGTTAACCTGTTCTTTATCCCTTGTGTTTTCTTTTTTTTTTAAGAAAAAACCCCATAATTTTAATAACTCCTTAGATGGTAATTTTCTTTTGAGATTCATTTGAGCAATGTCAAAAGAAGTAACAAGGATGTTGTACCCTTGAAGGATTTGCTTCTGATCCAGCGAGTTTAATCATTATTTAAAGGGGAATATGAATAGGTTACAAAGAATGTTCACTGAATCACATTTTAATATTTCTTCTTTTTAGCAAAAATGTGAAGAAACTAAACTGTATCTTCACAAGTGACAAAATGTTTGCACTTTAATTGTGTTCCCACCAGTATGGATCTCTTTCTCTTCCTTTTCACGCTATGATTATTGTTTGATAAGTGCTGGAAACCTTTTTAATGGTTTAAGTTTTCATCATTTACAGATGCTCACTGGACATTAAAGATTCATTGCACATAAATGAAACAAACTTTTTTCAATTTGTGTAATTTGCAAGGCTGTACAATGTGTGCTGATGCAAGCCTTTTTCAGTTCAAGAAAATAAATGTTTACAAACACAAACTTTTTCAGTGCACTTGTTTAAATTTCTGGGAGTCTTCTAAAACCTGGATGAAAAATATATTAATAGTTTGGATTCCTTCAAATGTGTGAAAAAAACTTCAAAATAACACAAATACTAGAATTTCTCAAAGAACCACTACTGATGTTCATCTTTCTTAAGCATTTATTTATGTTATCCTGCCCTTCATAATTTTTAAATGTTTCCCTATATAAGTAAAAAAGATGGAAATTGATCAGAGACCATAAAGGACTGCTCCTGTTTTTTTTATCTTTAGCACAGGCACTGATATGCTGTGTAAATGAGCAACTGCTTGTTCCCTTCTTGAAGCTGTTGCTTTCTAAAAGATGCACTTGTAATTCTGTAGGTGGAAACTTGTGGTAAAAGTTATGTTTAGGAACATTTTACAGAGGAAAAGCGAAGAGTTTAGGTGCCTAAACCAGCATTAATTTTCGTCTTCTAGGCAAAAAATCCTATCCCTAACAGACAAACACTTGAAGTGGCAAGAACAATTCTATGCATGTTCAGTTCTTCAATCCTTCATGTGATGAATCAAAGTATTTGGGAGAAAAATTACCTGTCTGGGAATAGTGTAGCCTAATAAATTAGGTATATGGGCTTTGATTCAGCAAAATGCTGTGATGACAGGTTTTTATGTGCATAAAGGTAGATTTCCACCCAGATATTCCCCTAAAACAAAGGGGAAAATGTTCAGCTTCAAGCCTGACAAATCTACTTCATGTCCCTGGCTCCTTTTCTAAAAGGATGGTACTTGGCATTGCAGGTCTTAAGCTGACACTTGACTGAATATACTACTGGAATGAGGGCATATAATTCTTCCTCCTCAGGTTGGATTGCTCTAATATACTGTACCCTAACCCAAAGATGATGATAAACCCAGTTAATGCCAGTTATAATGTTCCTCTCCTCTGAATAGCACAGAGAGAACATTACTAACGCACAGGTTCCAGCACTGCCTGTTGCTGACTTCCAGTGCTAGTTTAAGATTATGGTTTTAATCCTGTAAAAGTAGTTAATAGATTTCAGGTCTGTAATGACAGATGTCATAACACAGAAGCAGCTGCCTCCTGTGGCTAACACATATGAGGACAAGGTTTTCTATAGATGTACGTGAGTAGTCAATATCTGAGAACTTCCATCTACTCTGAGTGACAGAAGAACTAAATTAACATCAAATCAATCTCCAAAGGATGCTGCATCATTTGCTTAATTTGATAAACTTTCCCCATAATAACCAGAGAGAATAAAGTTAACTGAGAAAGGTAAGCATGGAGAACAGCAATCCACACAAACGAAGGGGAGGAACAAGGCCCAGCAAAAATCTATTTCTTATCAAGTAAGTTGCAAACCTGAGCGCAAATTGCCCTAGAAGAAAAGATTTGGGCACTTAATAAGCCAGCTCAATTCTAGTCCTTAATCTGATACTTACCTACAACTACAGGCACATCACCCTTTCTTAGTAAGTCTTCCTCTGTGCTAAACAGGCAGTTACAGTTTTTTGATCTGGACATGCCAATAGGAGCCACACAGATAAAACTAACAGGACTGTGGAAGCATCAGAGAGGCCTCGATGTTTACAGTGTGCAGAGAATTTAAATATTTCTGCTTTACAGTCTTGTTAATTTCTGATGTTGAGCTATTTCATACTGTCTCTAGTGCAGGGTAAAAACTCATCTAAACAATACCATGTGTACCTTCCTGGCTTTTACACTTCTGCCCCTTTCAGTTCCTTAAAATGCTTAAGCCTTGGGACTGCATACAAAAACCCTGGAACTATATTTGTTCCATAGATTTGGATCATGTTTTAGAAAGCAAATAAATACACTTTATGGTATGTAAAACTAGCATGCTCAAGTGTTCTCAACAAATCTTCCAGTTCTCTAGTGTATTTGAGCTTCCTGTCATTTAACATGAAAGCCATTTTTAAAGCAAATAGCAGCAAAAGTAATTAGGTGGGGACTTAAATGATATTGCAGTAACTTAATATGTTTCATTTGGTTGGGAACATCATAACTATAAAGGCTGAGGAACAAGCACTGGAAGAATAACCATAAAAGTCAAACAAATCTGGCTATTATCTATTCCACCAAAGGCTGCAATTTCTTTATTTTTTAATTAATGTAGTGTAATCAAGTGTAACAAGCATCCTTGCACTGTGAACAGATTCAGTGTTATTTATGATATTACAGTGAAAATTAATTAAAAATTAAGAAAACAAATAGAAGGTCCATACTCTGGGAACACTCAAAACCACACGGACCTGAGGTTGGATTCAGGTAGATGATAACAGCATGCCTGGGAATATACTGAAAGCCTCCACATAGCTGCCAAATTACAGCCTCATGTTTCAGTAACACTGGATTGGTATAAAGTGAAACAGTGGTAAAGGGATAATGTGAAATCTCTTTATTTCACTCACACATATACACTTAGAAAATGACATTAAAAGAAAAGCAGAATATCTGCAAAGAATGAAATGAGCAATACTGTGCTGTAATGCTTAAGTGTTTCTACCTGCAGCTATCTCTAATCCTGCTGGCCTTTCTGTAGAGCACACATTGTGTTTCAATACCCAGGTGGTACAGGGCAGTGGTAGGTGGATGGGAGTTCAGTTTTGTTAAACCACAAAAATAATTGTTTAGCTTGATGAATTGGATAAGGTACTTCAATATGCAACATGCTTTTCACAGAATGACTTTTTTTTTTTTCCCTTGTGCTATTGAAATAGCTTTAAATCCTTTTCCTATCTAGTAATACAAACCACTTCCCTCTTAAGGTGGAAAAAATAGTTAGGTTATCACGCTAGGACACTCATTTGTTCCTTAAAACTTCACATTTGACAAGTTTGTTGTTTTGAGCTAATCTTGTACTAACTTGTTTGGATGTCTAAGGGAGTTGTAATTAAAATTGCAACTAGCTTATTTTATTAATCTCTATTTTAGTGCCATCACATTTTTTCCATAGAAAACTGGTGCAGGTGGTAATTTCCTGTATTTAGCCCTGAAACAAAGCATGTTTATATGGAGTTTGGAGAAAATTAATCCAACCACTTTTATGGTACAGGTCATAAAATATTACTGTAGCTGGAATTTTTATGTATTTCCAGCTGAAAAAGGACTTACTTCAATCCCTTTAGTGTTTCTACAGCTCAGTCTTCATGAAGGTTGAGGTGCTGCCTCTATTCAATGTCCTAGTCATGTTTAGTATGTTTTTGGTATTTTTGGCTATCAATGTAAACAAGTACAAACATAAAGTGCACAATGTCAATGTGATTTCACTTTGGAAGCCTTATTTCTCAGGACTAGACCAAAACACTCAAAAGGGCCAAATTTCCAAAACATTCTGAAAATTAAGTCCCTTTGAATTCTCTTATTCAGAAACCTGAGACCAAAGTCACTATTCACATTTGAAAACTTCAGTGTAAATGAAGTTGCCTCTTGCCTCTTTAAAATGTATCTAGTTATGTTCCTTTTACAACATATATAAGCCTACTTTTAGTTGTGTCCACCTTGTGTATTTAGGCCTGTAGGGCTGGCGTTGAGACCTGACTGTTTGCAAGTCCCTTGTTTGCAAGGTTTGGTTTTTATCCCACTTGTAACTCCTTGATGTTCTGTGATGTTTTCCATTTGTCAAAATTTGTCAGGTTGAAAGTGGATCTTGCTCAAGAGATGATTAAGAAGCATTAACATTTGGTCCAGGGCACAAATACTATAGTGTTTGCTGCTCTTTCTTTCTTTTTTTTTTTTCTTTCATTTTTCAGTCTTGCTGGTAAAGCACCCAAGCCTAGTCATGATACAGGATGCATGCAACTGCAATGAACTGTTGCTGCACTTCTGAAGACAAACTTGAATGTCAGATAAGACTAGTGCTGTAAACCAAAGAGCTAGGAGTATCTGTATGGTGCTGACAGTTGTATGCTTTTAAAACTGGTATAAATTACAAAAATAAACTGTGCTGCTGTGGATAATGCTTAGCAGTGAGGTTTATTCTTAATTAAGCTCCCATGCTGCAGTTAACTGAGAATCTGAATTAGGATTGATGATCATTCACTGTGCTGACAGTAATGACATTTTTCAGACAGGGGGGCAACAGAGGTGGAAGGCAGGCTAGAATCCGGCTGCAGTCTGGACTAGCTTCAGCCCCAAGCTACATTTGGTCAGTTACTGCCCCAAAATTACTTGACAGCTAACTTAAGAAAAAGCAGCAATATTGCACATCATATTTGAATCACAGAGGACCTTGGTTTGAATTTGAGGGAGGAGAAACTGGCATTCTGCTTCTTTCTAATACCTTAATTTTTGCAGTAGTGAGAGGGTTAATTAGGCAGAGATGCAGTACAGCCTTGCCCTTTGGATGGTTTCCAAATTAGTTACTCTAAGAAACCGCATTACTAAGTGTGCTTTGACAGTCTATCACATTGACTTACACAAACCAGGAGATACACCAGGGCTTGTCTCCCTACTTATTCAAATTTGTCACCTTTTTTTTACTTGGCTTAAACTGATACTTTGATTTGTTAATGAACCAATGATTGGTGTGAAGCAAGAATGCAATTTTAAAAAGTAATTCACTAATATATTTTCCTTTTTAACCCAAGTAGATCTGTGTTGTTTAGGGAAGCGGAATTAATCTCTTAAAATGTAAGTTACTGTCTTGCACTGTCTTCCATACTGATTGCTTGATTTGGTTTTGTGTATTCATTTTAACCAACTAAATGACATTGCCACAAAAGTAATAAATCTAGTAACACACATGCAACATTTGCAAAAGTCAGCTAGGGACTTGGCATAACACCAAGGAACTGAACTCTGGGTAATGCTTCAGCTATCAAATTATTTTTCTTCTTTCCTAATAAAACTTTTTTCTTATTAGTTAGCCCTCCCTTTTCCTGGGCCTACAAATTGAGACCCTGTTTTCCAGGTAGATCTGCTCTAAAAGGTCTCAGATCAATTATAACAGCAGAGGTACATGCAACAGCAGC